GCAGGTACCTTGAATTTGTACTTTAGTACAGTACTTGAGTTATTGTACTTACTTTCACACAAAGGACCAAACTAACAGACGGCATTTCAACGATCATGTGACTGAAGTTTCACACGAGCCAGAGAGACAAAACGGACCTGTGAACTAACTTGATGTTGTTACATATTTAAACTCATACGTCACTTGTAAGTCTTCTCAGTGTTTCAGATAAACTCACCCACAGTGACCTGCGTCTTCTCATCGCGGGTCAAATACTCGACGATGGGTCCGGAGACGTATCCCGAGCCCAGCAGCAGCACGCGCTTCATCCCGGTCTTCTTCATGATCTGAGCCTTCTCTCTGAAGAACATGAGACAACACCGACTTAGACACGCTTCATCAGAGCTTCATCAAGAACTACGTTTTCATCCAACAAGCTGTCAAACTTTAAGCTACACAGAGTTCCAAAACTTGGATAAACAATATGAGTTTTCAAAATTATGGAAACACCACAAAGAAAATCTGGATTTTAATTGAATAAATAAAATAAAATATTTCTTCAACTTTGATCAACATGTGGTCCTTAATGATTGGATGGTAACTAGTCAGCCACATGTGTTGAAGTCTTTCTGGCTGAGCAGAAGTAAATAAAGCATCCGCTCGACTGACCCGTCACACATTGTGTTTTAACCACAGCTGCTTCTTTTGATCTGCTGTATTCAATTTAAACATTCGCTTGCTATTTCTCTAAAAGTAAAACTTTGGACTATAATGAAAATTTTCTTTGTTTAATTTGAGTGAAGTTACTTCATGGACAAAAATGGTGTCCTGCATATTACCTCAGTCGAACATGCAAAAATATACCTCGTTTGTGTGCTTATATATATATATATATATATATATATATATATATATATAACATTTAGAAGTTCTTTGAAAGAACCAGTGATGTAACAGCGTTGATTTTACTTTAACTGTTGCTTTAAACTTCCTACATAAGTTTATTAATATATAAACGTTCCTGCGTAGATCTCAGATCGATGTTTAACGTCATGGTAACGATGCAATGTGTACAAAGTCAAAGTGGCAGAGAAGCGTTTCTCATCGAACATAAATCCAAACAGTATCGTAGTGATGATGAGGTTGTGGTCATCCAAAAAATAAATATTATAATTATGTAACTAATTAAAACAGAACAGGTGTTATGAATTCAGATTGAATATTAAGATTACAATTTTATCAAAAATGTACCTCAATAGTTCATATTTAATTAAAAGTCAATAAAAATAAAGTAAAAAGAATGACATCTGATTGTTTTAATACACATTTTAATATACTGGTATTAAATTATTTATTTTAATATTTAGCAGGGGAAAATTTGTAACCTTAAAATAATACTAAAATATGAGTTATTATAATAATAAATTAGATTTATTCAATTAAATGTTACAATTATTATTACTTTGTAAACTTTTGTTTACCGTTTTTTTGTCATTTTTTTCCATGAACAAGCCAAACTTTATAAATACATAGTTAATGTGTTCTGCCCGTATTTCCACTTTTTCAGCTCCAATGTTTCCAGTTTGAAGTGTCTGATGAAGTCGTAGTACGTAACCACAGTGGGACTGAAAGCCGAGTGAGTCCACTGAAGCTCTCCTTTAATTAAACCGAGAGCTCTTCTTACAAACAACTTCATCCAGTTTTTTTAAAAAGTCTGTGATTCTGCATGCTGGATTATCTCAACACCAGAACAACAATAACACCATAATGGAGGCATCACCCCGAGTGACCTGTGGCATTAATATCCCACCGCCAACCGCCTCAACCACCTCAACCCCCCCCAACAGGAGTCAGACCCCCGGACTTGTTAGCTTTGGTCTAATTGGACGCGACACATGCACGGGTCGCAGCGTGGACTGGCTTGAGGTCTGACCGGCGGTCTGCCGGGCGCCGAGCCTCGTCCTCTTAATTAAAAAAAAGAAAGAAAGAAAAGAGAGACGTTCCCTCAGGAGGATTTCTCCCTCAGTTGACATATCTTAAGGAGACAAACTCAATCAAAGGGATTAAGATTTGGTGGCATGGCTTGTCTGGAAAAATGATACTTAAGATCAATTAGGAAGAAAACTCATCACGTCTTAGAGGTGGCCTAAATATGAGCGAGCTGAACTCGTCTTTGTGCAAAAGAAAACACTGGAGTCTCAAGAAGCTGAATGTTAATAATCTCAAGAAACAAACATTATTAAGGGTTATCAGATTAGATATGACGAGCTCATTAAAATGTTTTTTACCAGCAACATTGACTGAAGCTGCAGATAAGCAGCAAAGTAAAAGACGCTAAATGTGTAATCAATTGAGAAATTAATCAAAGCAGATTAAAAAAAAAAAAGATGAAAAATTAAAAAAGGAACAATGCCGGAGGATTTCAAGTAAACAACAAACATGCAGATGAATCATTTGTTTTCTGTCTTGTAAAAAGTCAGAAGAGAAGATCATCTCTGAGGACCAGGACAACTTTAGCCTAGCTTAGCACAAACACTGGAAACTGGGGGAATCTGCTAGCATAGCTCCATCAAAATTAAAGATACGAAATTAGTGGCACCAACAAGAATAATATGTGATTCATTTGTTTTCTAATTGATTTCCCAACCCTAAAAAAACGCTAGCTCGGGCTGCTTATGAGTTATAAAACGTGCTATCTAGAAAGCTAACGAAGCTAAAGAAACAACAGCATGCAGCCATGCTAGCGGCTCTGTGAGGTTGTGTTTAAGCACGCTAGGTAGATGCTAACATGCTAACAATGACTGTTAATATGCTGGTGGTTAACAGGTCATTTTCACTATCTTAATATAGCATCATAGCATGCTAACATTTGCAACTTAGCACTAAGCACAGAGTGGAGCTGAGGCTGACGTCATTAGTTCTGCAGGTATTGGTATTGGACTAATTAAAATGTTGAGCTGATGATGGCGCTGGTTCTGGGGTTCTCAAACTTTTAGGCGCCAGGAACCCCCTACAGGGATGAAAATGTTCAACCTAAATACTTGATGTAGAGAAACTGTTTTGTTCTCTTCAGAGATATAAAAGCTGTCAGAAACTCTTGATTTCTCAGAGTCACGGTGCAGGACAGCTTCGGAATTGTTCTCTTTTACTTGAGAGAAGCTAACAGTTTCCACCCACTTCCAGTCTTTGTGCTAAGCTAAGCTAAAAACGTCTCTTGAAAATTGCATGCTTAAACATGATAGACTGATGCGACAGATAGGGGGGATGACGTTTTGTTTTTGTATGAAGTGAGAAGAAAAGATGTTTCTAACCCTCCATACCCAGGGGTCCAGCATCTGACGTTGGCTAGCCACTGCGGCTTATTAGCACGCTAGCCATGCAAGGTGTTAATGCAGAAGCCGGTTGGCAGAGCAGACACCAGAGGGCAGCACTGTGCAGGAACAACCACAAGGTGAGGTAAAGAGGGAAGACAGGAGGCTACAAAGCACAACCTAGCTTCTAGGACGCTGCTATTCAGGTTTAAACACCACAGTTTAGAAAGTTAGCACAGGTGAGCTATTAGAACATGAGAAACAAGATTTTACACATTTCATCCATAGATTGGTTGTATTAACAGGCGCGTGCCAAAGTAGTGTTTTTACATTTTTTTTTTTTCAAGAATTCAAAGAAAGAACACGGTGAATTACAGAATGATCCCCAAACACACACAAACACAATGCTTAACATTCCACAAAAACAACACAATGCACCAAATACAGCATTTAAAAAGGGAAAATTTTCCACATTTTATGTGGACGTCCAATTAGTGTTGATGGTAAAATGCAGCTGAAGCAATAAACTCCTGTCATTCGTCCTGCACACAGCGCCGTCATGTGACAGCGAGGTGGATGCGAGGAGGAGCTACAGGCGGCTTCAGCTTTTATCTCTTTGGGTTGTCATTGGGTGCGCGCTGGAGATCTGGGGTTCTCCACTTTTTGTTACTTAACCAATCAGACGCGGGTCTGATTGGTTAAACAATTTCCGAGGACCACCTTCCTAAATAAATGAGAAAAAAAAAACATAACATGATTAAAAGAAAAAAAAAAAATATATATATATATATATATATATATATATTACGCCTCCGTCAGCTGTAATGACCAAAGTAAATATTCAGCTTACCCTCACCATCACTGCCTGCCATTATGAATCCTAATTTACTGTATTCAGGACCATATTTCCTCACCACACGCTTTGGAGCTCTTACTGGTGCAGGATTGTCTCCCACGTCACTTTGGGAGACAAACCGAAGTGACGTAAAGGTGTACAGACTGTAAAGCCCTCTGAGGGAGATTTGGGGCAATACAAAAATAAATTAAATTAAATTTTTTGTTCAATCCGAGGGAATGTGAGCTAGCTAACAGCGGCAATAAACATTCCTCTCTACCTGATAATCTATTGTAACTGGTCACTGAAATTACGCATTTTTATTTGACTTTTTTATTTATTTATGTAAATACTTGAGCACAGGAATAAAAATGACGAGCTTTGAATATTACCCAAAAAAATCGTATTTATTTAATCTAACCTTTTATCAGTGCCTTCGCGGTCCACTAGATGGCGCTCGGAAGGCCCACCAGTGGGCCCACGGACCAGTGGTTGAGAACTACCGTGTTCCCTTTGCTTGTATTATTATAAACATCGTCCCGAAAGATGAGTGCAGAGGACACACTTTACAGTGTTTAAGCGGATTCTGATATTTAGTTGTATTTCTTGGAGTAAAAAGAAGTCAGCCGAGCTAGAGATATGGCTGGCGTCAATGCATCCTGGTGTTGGGATCTGACCCTGCTCTCCTGGCTGGCTGAGACCTTCACACGTGTTTTTCAAACAAAGGAGCAGCCATGTTCCTTCCTTTCACCAAAACGCCTGACCTGGGGTCTGCAAGAAACCTCATGCCGGATGACCACACCCCCCAGCTCCAGCAGAAACCTGATGCTGGTCCCTCATTGGCCAAGAAAGGGCCCCCCACTGGTTGTGCCACCTGGTTTATAAGCCTGAGCACAGCTAGAATTCTTCCTCTTCCGTCCAGACACCGCTGGTGTAAGGAGATCCACAAGGCCTCTTCACTCCGGACTCGTCCAGGGGACAAGAAGATCCACGAGGAACCGCGGCCTCATCAAATGCTATCAGGTCACATGTAACATTCGCTGGTCGAACAGACTGTGTTTTATTTTGAGTTTAGGATCCTGTATTGCGAGAACGGATAACTCCTATGCCCCGTTCTCCCACCCTTGTTGTGTACACACCGCCGGCAGAAGGTAACAATCTTTCCTCGCCGAAGATCTCCGGGAAGGACGACCCAAACCTCGTCCCTCAGCCGAAGTTAAAAAGCCCCTCTCTGCAGCGAGGAGGCCGAGTCTGCGCCAGCCAGCCCCGAGGCCGCGCCACCGAGAGCCAGCGGCTACTCGAGGACCGAGTGATCCCTACCACAGGAACCAGACCCTACCGAACGAAGCTTCTACGAGTAAGAGTTACTGGTATCTGGGCCTAGCTTAGCTGAGCATTAGCTTAATTTAGCCTATTCGTTATGTCGTTGTTATTCCTGTATCTTGTTACGTTAAGTTACTGTCATGTTATAACGTGTTATTGCGCAAGCATCGCGGACCACGGAGTCCCGTTATATTGTGTATTTCCTGCTGTAACTGTTCGCATTAGATCCGTCGCTGCTAGTGGATGTGGAGGTTGTGATTTTATCACTTCAAAGACCAAAACCACGGCGGCGGAGCCTCGTCTCGCCGACCGAGTTTCGGGGTGATAAGAGAGCAATACTCACATCTCACCGCAGTGATAAAGATCTGTTTTGTTTTGGGGATTATTTTATTTTGTTTGGTTTTATTGTCTCTTCTTTAAATCGGCTCTGTGAGTGAGATTGAGAACCGCAACTATCACCGTACAAGCGTGACCGGTCGGTTCAGAATCCGACCGCAGAGTGATCAGCTGTTCCTCACATTCTCACTGCAGCGCCGAGCACCTCGCTCAGATCTCCTCTCTGTCAACCTCTCTTCCTACTAACCCGCACACACACAGTTAGATTCAGTGAATTTGAATGAACCTCTCAGACACGTGGTCGCGTAATCTATTGTCCCAACCCACATTGTGCGCCGTCCCACGTGGTTACACGTAGCCACCTCTCAGCTATCTTGTCGCGGGTCAATAGACTCCGCCATCTTTGCTTGTAGGCTCACACGCCCCTTTTTAGGTTACGTACCATCACTGTTTGAGTAGGCCCCCCCCCCTTCGTTTCCACACACTCACACATGTACATATATCTATACACATATCCTTACCCCACTTTATTCATTCGACTTTAGGTATTAGACATATAATTGTATGATAGTGTTTGTTGATTTTGATATTACTTGATTTGATCATTTATTTTAAAGAGCAGTCGTCTGCGATTACTTGTGCATATGTGTGTAATAATAACTGGATGTAGTGGCCTGTGCTCGAGCTTAAACCTTCACTTTCACTCTGAATGTGTAATAGTACTCAGACTATTGACATTATGAGTGAACGCTAATTATGAGACTTAGTTTTATTGTTTGGTTATTGGTCCCTGTTCGCAGGGTGGTGCCCCGTTATTAATAATCATTAATAATTGTTACTGACATTAATAATTCTATTGATGTCAAGAATTTAGTTTCTTGGATGCTGATAACCCAAACACGCTCCTTTACGTTCCCCAACACTGGTACATGCAAGCAGGTAGAAATCAGCTTTCTGGGTCAATAAAGCTTCAACTGACTACATTTATCATCAGGACCGACTGGACGTCCACATAAAACTCACAGCGTGGAACAAGTCTTACCTTCTTTCTCGATGTTTTTCGATGTATTCGAACTTCGGGGTGAGGACTCCGTTCGATGTGATGACAGCCTTCAGGAACAAAGAAAAGATTCGGTATTTTACAAATCGTAAACACAAGAGTAAAATAAGTTTTGCCAAATAAATAAATAAAGATGTTCGGTAATGAAAGCTACGGAGACTGTGTTTGTATTTCCTGGCTGTATTTAAAGTGACAGTACACCCAAAATCTATCCATAAAGAATCAACCGCTGAATAAATTCATACAGCAGAGAGGCAGCAGTCAGTTTGAAATAAACTTCAGTTGCAATAGATATTTAAGTAAAGATTATATTAGTGTATCACATTAGTTCACTTTTAATTTCTGGGTGAATTTGAATGAATTCAGAAACACCTTTTGTTTACAACTGCGACGAGAAAAGTGATTTGAATTTGCTGGATTCCTGTTTCTCATCGTCAAAAGAACTTTTGAACCAGGATATTGACATAATCATATATAGTAATCATATATATTTTTAATCAGACTTCAACACCTGTGACAGTTTCCATCATGGAAAGCAAAGGGTGCCACCTATGAATATATGTTTGGATAGATAGCCGGTGCTTTGATCTTTTTTTAAAAACCTCTAAGAACACGATCAGTTGTCAATTTTTACTAATGTCAGCTTGACATCGTGAGACAACTTTGCTGAGTTATGAATTAATCTCACATAAAAGAAATTTAAGAACCAGCAGATACAATACATACAGTGACACATTTCACTAAACAGCTAAACACGACTCACGTCTCTGACTTGCGGGCTGAAGTCCTCTTCGTCCAGCGGTCTGGTGGCGTCTGAAGGCAGCTGATGACGACACAAAACTATATTTAAAAGTCACGTCTGTGTTTTTTTTTTTTTTTTTTTTACCCAGGTCACCAGCGCGCGTCTCTCTCTCTCTCTCTCTCTCTCTCTCTATATATATATCTTACCATCTCCCAGAGGTACGGGAAGAGTCGGTCTCCGAAGTACTCCGTGGCTCCGATGGGGAGCTGAGCGGGAAGGTTGTCGATGGAGCACATGAGGATCCCGTTTCCCTCCACGCTGCCGGGACCAGAAGCGTTAACGTTACTTATGTTCACACATAAATAACACGCGTCTGCACTTAAGACTATATGCAGGAAACAATACAGATGCAATATCACCACAGCACCCAAAGGTGAGAATACAAACCTGGCCGCTAATAAAACAAGTGACAGAATAATGTAAAATCAAGATGATAAAGATAATTATCATTTTTTTTTATCATTTATATATTTTTACCATATTATATATTCAGCTGGTCTTCAAGGCTCCAGACTGTGTCCCAAAAATCATTTCAACGCACTGAAGTCAGTAAACCATTATTAACCAATATTATCTAAATATCTATTTATGTTGCTGTGAAAACATCTCCTTCAAACTACTGTGTGTATTTAAGTTTATCACCAAAACTACATTTTACAGACGACATGTGAACACATCATGGTAACGTTATAATGTACCTTCAGCCAGTACTCATGTTCACTGAGCAGAGCCTGAAGGCATCATAATGTAACTGAAATGAACCTCCATTGGTTAGCCGTTAGCGGTGCTGCTAACGTTACTAGCTCTCCTCCTGTTGGTTAGCT